GAGCACTGCCAGCAGGGCAAAGGGGGTGATCCTGGCCCTCTGCTCAGCCTTGGTGAGGCACATTTGGAGTGCTGTGTCCAGTTCTGGGCTCCTCAGGACAAGAGAGACATGGAGCTCCTGGAGAGGGACCAGAAAAGATCTACAGAATTGCTCCAGGATCTGGAGAATCTTGCAAGAAAAGGCTGGACCTGTTCAGCCTGGAGAAAAGATGACTGAGAGGAAACGTCACCACTGTCTGTGAGTACTGGGGGAGTGGCAAGAGGATGGAGCTGGGCTCTGCTCAGTGGTGCTGAGCAACAGGACAAAGTCAATAGGCAGAAACTGATGTACAGCAAGTTCCACCTCAACAAGAGGAAGAATTTCTTTACTGTGCAGGAGACCAGCACTGGAACAGATTGTCTGGAGAGGTTGTGGAGTTTTCCTCACTGGAGATAATCAAAAATATTCACTTGGATGTAATCCTGTGCTATTTGCTCTAGGATGACCCTTCTTGAGCAGGGAGGCTGAACTACATGACCTACAGCAGTCCCTTTCAGCCCGATTGATTCTGTAATAACCAGTGAGTATTTACTAGAGTAAAGAAAAGAGTATTTACTCTTTTTCTTAAATATGTGGCATTGGGGGAAAAAGACTCATGATGAAACGAGTAAAAAATTTAGTAGTAATGACCCCGTGAAAGCCATCAAAATTAAATAAAAAAGACTGAGGTATGTGAGTTTACCCAAGTTTACCAGGTTTTAAAGATCTTTCATGAATACCTGCTTTTATACCACCTTGTCCATTCTGCTTTCTTACTCACCCTTTTGTTTCCTTTATAAAATTTATATACACTTATAACTGTTCTTAATTACACTGTTACTACTGTGAAGATGTGTGGGAGATCCTATTTGTTAAAAGCTTTCCCACGATACTCTCTAAAATTATGCCTTTCTCTGTGTTGGTAGATCTTTTAGCTGGGTTTTAGGCCCTATTGTCACAGACAATAATTAACAGTGTTAGGCAAGCCATATGTTCAAAGAAGTTTGAAAGCAGCCAACATTAAGTTTCAAACTATTACCAAAATTTTGCATGCTCTTCATCAAATGCATCTTCAATGTCAATTGTCAAATATAGTCTTCAACTAATATTTAACAGCATAGTTTGCTGTGTCAACAAAGTGCCATACCCACAGGTATAATTTATTTTTGAGGCCTCTAAAGACTTCCATATGGAATACTTCCTATTCCAGAGCAGCACAACTACATAGTGTAATTGAAAAAGAATTTACACACAAACTCTAATCTGCTTTGACTTCACTGGATGCAGCAAATACTAGTTACAAGATCACACTAATTACAAGATACTGGGCATAGTAATTAGTATTATCAGCTATGCTAGTTAATGGCAATATTAGTCACTCCAGAATACAATCTTAATGTATTTTATTTCTTTGTCATTAGCATCTTATGATCAATTAAAAGGTGGTTTGTAAATAGAGTTTATTAATTGTGAACAGTCTAGACACCACTTGTTAGACTGGATTTCGTTCTCCTCTCAATGTTTCAAGTACTCCTTACATATAGCAACTGTTCCAAATAATTGCCACTGCTGTCAGGTTTGGCACCAAAATACTAGTGATGAATTCTTTTTTAAAGTATTCAGCAATTACTTTCAGTATTTTTTACTTTTAGGACTTGTCTGAAGTATGATTGGTAAACGTGTTAAATATGAATATTCCTGAAATATTGCCTGAATAAGCTGTTATAAAAATACTCCTCTATCTTTAACTTTAGTTTGGTGTGAGTCACAGTACTATTTTTACACTAAGCTTTCTTTTTAGTAACAAGTAAAATTCATTAATGAATCACAAGCAGGTAACTACTTAGCTTATGGTTAACGTCAAATAAAACAAGCCTCCAATATTCATAAATATCAGGCTATCCACTCTTCACTTGACAAGAGCAATCCATGGTGATTTATTGTAAATGGGAAGGATGATGATAATGTGCCATGCTGTATGAATTTGAACAGATGGTATCTGTCAGATAACAGCTCTTCTTTCAAGAAGTAAGTAGATTTTGGGTAAATATAGAGCAAGAAACAGGTTGGTTTATGATCATGATGATATTCTGGCTTATTTTCTTTAGGCTATAATGGTGCATTCTCTCAGTCCCTGGAAAAGCTGTCATGATTGCAAGTAAGAGTGAGACTAGTCAACAATAATGAAAATCCACAGATCTTTAACAAAGAGCAGTTAAATAAAAGAGGCCTGTACATCACTATTACATCAGTAGGAAACTTGAACCATATTGTGCTCTGAAAACAACAACAACAAAAAACCCTCAAAGGCTGCTGCGGTGCAGCATTTGCTTAAGCCTATGGTTTTCCTGATCAAAAAAAAAAAAAAATTATTTTCTAGTATTTGCAAAATAACATGTAATTTCATTGTTTATACATCTATATATACACGTATCTGCATATTTCATATCTTCTTAAAATGAACTGTTACAAGAGTAACAGTTTTATCTGGATTTTATCTGGATTCAAGACACATACTTAAACCTAAACAAAACAGCATATTGATTTTAGACTTGGCCTTGCCTTGGTTACTGCAGATAAACCTTGTCAGAAAGTCCTTCCAGAGTATGGGTAGTGTGGATGCAATCCTCAAACAGAAGACCCTGTATTGGAGCTGTCTGTGTTAGAGATATTTTCTATTATGTTCAATACTAGTATTTTGGAAAGATTGAGATTTCTGGCAGTTTTTGATGCTTTAAAAACCATTTCCATCAGATCTGCTCCAAATAAGTTTGCAAGTCACAAGGGCAAGTAGGCATCCAAATGTCATATAGGCTCCTGAGTCCAGTATTTGTGCCCCTACATTTTGTGCTAACAGGCATTTGCTACCAAAATTCAGGAAAAAGAAGAGAACTCCTTAACACCAGTGTGGCATTAAGAAGTAGGTATTCTTTATTCAGCCAGATGCACAGAGGCATATCTCCTCCAGAAATCGTGCATGCTGAGTACAGAAAAAGTTCCTGTTTGTGTACTATTCTTTACATATATATTCATTGATTTTCCTGGAATAAACACACATTGACAATGATTTCCCTGAAATCACTGACATGTTCATTCCCATCTGCACATGCATCCTTCTGTGCTGAAGATATCTTTTGGGGTCCCTGGTGGTCAGTGACCCCAGAGTCACACCTGACTGCCTGGTGAACTGGTAAAATTTGGCATAATGAAGCTGGCTACTCTCTAGTTGTTGTTCCTACAGAATAAGCATTATGTCGTTCCACAGGCCAGTGGTTTTTGAAGAGTAAGTAAGCATTGTCTTAGCCTATCAGGTACAAACAATTTTTCATTCAACAACATTCACAAAACAAAGACAAATTATTCTCCTCAGGATGATTTTCAAACAATATTCACAAATTTCCTGCCTAGCATAATTTGTCCAGTGGGGACAGGAAGTCCCTGTAATCCAAGGATAACAGCAATTGCTGGATGGGAGAGAAATTTGTTTGCTATTTCTGCTGGTAAGCAAGGATTAGAATCCAGATTTCCCACCACTTTTGCAAATGCCCTAGAAAATGCAACTGGAAGTTCTGGGAGAGACTCCCAATTTTTGCTGTTAGTGGTTTTTCATGTTGCATAAGTAATTAAAGGTTCATGGGGTTGTTTCAGTGCTTAAAATCACTGGAAATATTTAATGCCTCTTTATTTTTACTAGCAGGAGTAACAACAATTTCCTACTGAGTTGCATCCTTGGAGCTTACACCCAACCAGCCCTGTCACACAGAATCAGCTAATCAGTGATGAACTGCTCCAGGAGCTTAATCATTCATAGCCAATCTAAATGACTGAATTAAGTGTCTAATCACACATATGATGTAAAAATAAATGCTTTTATTTATGCTCTAAGCAGAAGATCCTGGGATATTGGCTTCCTTGCAGATCAGTCACATGGCCCCACTACAGTGTGCAAAGAAAACATGTGTATCCATGTGGATATTTTTATGTGTACATGCCCACCAGGGCTGGTGCAAATAGCTGTGCAATCCTGACACTGGACATCACCACCAGCAACCACACCAGTACGGTTCCTGCCCGGCCCCTCTTCCCCCACAGGCGGGGAGAGGGAAATTCACAGAATCACAAAATAGTTAGGGTTGGAAAGGACCTCTGGAAATGATCCAGTCCAACCCCCCCACTCAGGTAGGGTCACTTACAGCAGGTTACACAGGAACACATCCATGTGGGTTTTGAATATTTCCAGTGAGGGAAACCCTGAATCACCTGTGCAGCCTGTTCCAGTGTTCTGCCACCTTCAATTTAAAAGAAATCCTTACTTATGTTGAAGTGAAATTGTTTATGTTTATGGCCACTGGTCCTCTTCCCGTTGCTGGGCACCACTGAAGAGTCTGGCACCGTTTGAGATATTTGTGTGTATTGCTGAGATTCCCTCTCGGTCTTGTCCAGACTAAACAGGCCTAGTTCCCGCAGCGTCTCCTCATAAGAGAGATGCTCTTGACCCCAAATCACGTTTGTGATTTGCTGGACCCTCTGATTTCCCATCTCTGCTGGACCCTCTCCAGTATCTCCTCGCCTCTCCTTTGCTGAGGAGCCCAGACTGGACGCAGCACTTCAGCCTCACCGGGGCGGAGCAGACGGACAGCACCACCCCCCCCAGGCTCCTACACCCTTCCCGGCGCAGCCCAGGATACCTGGGGCACTGCCGGCTGGCGGGCAGCTGGCCACGCCCGAACCAGCCCGTGCCGGGGAGCGAGGCGAGCCCCGTCCGCGGCCCGGGGCCGGCGGAGGGCGGGCCGGGCGATGAGCTCATCCGCGGGCGCCGCGGGCCGGGAGGCGGCACCGGCGGCGGCAGCTCGGGCGGCTGGCGGGGCCGGCAGCGGACAGCGGGTCCCTGCGTGTCCCCCGTGTCCCCCCGTGTCCCCGGTGTCCCCACACACGCCGGGAGCCGGCGCGCAGGCGGGGCGGCGGCCGCCGCTGTGAGTTGATCCTTCCTTGTGCATCCCCCCCGTCCCCTGCTCCCTGCCCGCGGCGCTTCGTGCGAGGGAGGCGCCGCTGGAAGCGACAGAATTTTCCGTCCCTGCCTTTCCTTACAGACTGAATGGCTGTGCCCCGAGCATAGGGAGCAGTGGATGAGGCAGCATGCAAAGCAGTAGGGAGTGTGTGGCCGGCTATCATCGCTGCTGTCCTTTTCCACGCAGAGAGTCGATGGCCTTCTTGTGGGCTGCTGGTGTCCTGGAAGATCTTTAAACGTGGATCTGTTCGAACCTGCCACTTCTGTTCCGCTCATTGTCCTCTTTAACAGTGGAAACATGCAGGTGAAACTTCCGTCTGAATGAATGGTGGTGTGTAATTCATCCGGGGATCTCAGTTTAGTTATATGTTAGGTCCATTACTACTCAGAGGTCGTTAAATAGCTGAGGTGGCTTGCCAATGTCAACATTGGAAAGACTTTCCAATTCCAGCCTTAAAGACTTAGTTCTTTGACGTTGTAGGTAGTATTCATTAACAGCAGCTGCATTAAGCTGAAGACAGTCATTCTGTTTCAGCACAGATTTTATTTGGGTGATTCCTATGTATGAATACTGTCAGACATGTATGCTGCATGTTCTGAAAGTCAGTCACACACAACCTTTCCTTGTGTATATTCAGTGGAAATAAAATCCAAGACAGTTCCTCTTTAATGCTGTTCTGCATCTCTATAGAATCACTCACTTTGGAGGGGCCACTGAAGATTATCTAGTCCCTGTTCAAGCAGGGTTAGGTAGAGCAAGTTACCCAGGCCCCTGTCCACCTTGAAATTATTTTGTAAAATAAAAACTAGAAAATTCTGTCCTTACACAACTGTTTGTCATGGGGTTTGTTTTGGTATTGTGGAGTTGTTTTGTTTTTTAATTTTGGTAGAGTTTTTTCTGTGGTTTTTATTTTTTTTTTTTTTTAGGGTTTTTAAAATAAAGTAATAGTAAATTTGGAGGGCAGAAAATGGTAAACCACATATCTGGTCTCTCTTTAATTATTTGGTCATTACTGTAATAGAAATAATTGTCAATGGAGTAAAGATGGGTTAAGGGTAATATCGGGATACTCTTCCTAACTTCTTTACCAGTTTAAGTTATGCTTCTTTTTAAGTCTTGGGTGTTTTTCTTTGGGAATTAGTAGTTTGGGGGCAGAAGGTTTTCTTTGTTTTTTGGTTTTTTTTTGTTTGTTTGTTTGTTGTTTCTTTGGTTTTTTGTTTTTTTTTTATTTCTCTTCTTATTTAAGCTGGAAGATGGAGTTTTCTCTCTTGGCTTGTCATTTCAGCTCATAGAAATAAATTTTCCTCACTGCTAACTTGCTGCTGTAGTTGGTAAAAAAGGTCTTCCATTATACTCATTATTTCTATAGTTTTCAGACTTAAAAGGAGACTTCTGGAATGGTATCAGTTTTACCAAGGGATAGCAGTGATTGAATTAATTTTCACATCAAAGCCTCATTACAAAATGCACTGATTTTCTTGTGAACGCAGAATGAGGTCTGTAAGCTCTCTTCTGTGTATTGTTTTGTAGTAGTTTAATGTGAGCAAATGTTTCTGTTAGTTTGTTTAAGCCTTACTTTCATCTATAGAATGCATTTGTGCCTTAAAAAGGCTTAAGATCTCTTAGGTAATTGTCTTACGTGTGTATAGGGAAAAAGTTTGTAATTACCAAAAATAATGTATACATATTCCTTGCTATTTAAAGAATAAAAATATTGTTGATGTTGGTGTTAAAAATAGAGCTCTTAGTAAGATCTTATTGTCTTATATTGTGTAGAAAATGTATAAACCTGGATTTTGAAGGAGCTGCCTTGAAAGCAGTTTTAATGGCATTAGTTATAAAACTCTTCCAATTATCAAAGAGAATGTTTATCCAAAAGGCGCTTTTTTTAAATTTTAAAGTTTCTTTAAATGTTAAGTAGAGAACATTATAGCCTTAATTCTAACATCTACTTGATGAAATCAATTGAATTAGCTTTTTTGTACAGATGAAGAAAATCATGCTTGTCTGAAGGTGAAGAAAGTCCAAATATTGCTTTATTTTCCTGGTATAAAAAGATGGTGTTTAAATGTGTGGATATTGGCCAGTAGCATGTAGGGAAAATCTGTGTCACTGAAATTCTTCTACACCTTTTGAAAAATACTGTGAGTACGTAGCACAAAACAAATTGTTCTCTGTGCTTTGGAGATCCTTGTTTGTGGATCAGGATATTAGCTTACATTACCAGCTCAGGTGCACGTCCCAGGCTGGGTGCTCGAGTGGTGTGCATAGAAATAGCTATCTCTGCTGACTGTTGATCAAAGCAGATGATTCTGACAGCATCCTCAAACAGACTTAGCATTAATTGGTAAGGTTCTTCTGACCATCCTTAGTTTGCTAGAAAATTAAATTTGAGTAAATTTCTATGCAGTTACTTAAATGGACTGTCATTTGTGTGAGGTGTGAGAAACAGAAGAGCTGAGATAGAAATGGGCACCATCTTAGGGATTGATACCTGCTGCTTGTGTCAGTATTTGTGTGTTGCTTTGTGTGACTCTGATTTTGCACAATAAAAAACAGTGGTGTGGATTGTAAGGCATTAACTGTTTTATGTATTCAAATATTTGCAGCAACTCCATGCTGCGAGTTTTCCAGGGCTTGATAGATATCAACTACAGAGCTGTAACTGCTTGGATTGGTTGGAGACTTGATCTTCTATCATAGGGCCCTCTTTTCATTCATTTTTGTTTTCTAAGATTTTGGAAATGCATGAGAGACGACAGCTGCAGTTGTGCTCTGAAGCAAGGTGTATTTTGTGTACGCTTCATCTTTGGCTTATGCCTTCATGACAAGATGCAGGACTAAGTTAGGCAGCTGTGTTTTGTGCCTGCCTTTCACAGTGGTGTAAGCCATGACAGTGTCACGTGTGAGACAGTCTCTCACTGTCTGGTGTAGCAGGGGTGCAGTGAAATTAGGCGTGTGCTTGGAAAGGGAGTAGATAATTTAGTACATTCTTAACAGTGTGTTTCTAGCTCCTGACACTGTATTATGAAGTCATCTCTAATGACCACACATCTTCTCTTTTTGAAGGTGGGTTTGTTTGCATTTTTTTTTTTTTTTTAAGTTTGTAAGCCTTTCACTTGCTTCTAACTACTAGTGGTTCTGATGGACATTTTAGCAAGTTCAGAGGCTTTTCTAATTTTCTTATCTGAATTATTACTGTTAGAGTGGAATTAGACTGGAGTAGTTAGCTATTTGCATTTAAAATAAGCTTCTTGGAATTTGAAATGGGTGTTCTGTGTAGTTCCGCTGTCCCTGGTTTTTTTTTTCCTTCAACTGCCACTGGACAGAATTATATTTCAAAGTTCTTCCCTATCTCTTTATTTCCTTTTTGATTTTAACTTTAAAACCTGAGACTATGAGTTACAGTGCATTGCCTGTCAAAAAAGAATATTTTTTTTTTCCTCGTAGACATTTCTAGGAAGCTTAATCTTGTCTACTTTGCAACCATGTTTTATGTTGCCTGGAAACTTTTTTCTCATATTTGCTTTCAGAGACCTGTGTTTCTAATTCAGGCTGATACTTTTTGTATTGAGTGGAAAACAATGTTATACAAATATAATTCCCCAATGGATCGTAGCTCTTCTGTTTCCCATTCTTCATTTCTTTTATGCAATTCTATTATGTGGCGCTGATCAAGATTGACTCCATTAATGTTGGCCACCATCTGCTGTTATTGTTTATTCTTTTGTGAACACCTGTCTTCTAAAATATTAAAACATAAAACCAAATAATCAGTTTTCCCTGTAATTTTATTACTTTTATTACTTACAAAATGTACTTACAAAGTTCATTTAATAAGAAAGATGCATTGAATTTTAGGTCTACTGTTAAAATATACTAGTAATTTTTTATATATACTAGTAAATATACTAGTAATTTTCACTCTTTGAGTGAAAGAAGTATGACATGAAAGACTGTTTATGAAATGATCACCAGGACTTTGTAGCAGCAGTGCAATTTCTAATTCTTTTTTTAATGCCTGGAGTTCAGCTAGTGAACCTCCTTTTCTAAAGGCAAAATGCATTAATTGCACAGAAACGAAAACCAGATACTCATTATGGGCATAATATAGCAAAAAATACTACAGAAGACAATGTTGAATAAGAGATATATTTCAAAAAAAGATGTCAAAAATAATTAATCTTTTCTGTGATTCCAATACCTTGATATATATGTGTAAGACAGCAAACAACTTATCATACCAAATTCAAAGAATATTTCTCAGAACAGCATATTTATGAAGCAATATTAAAAGATGTACTGTTTGCATACACAAAGCTTGAATACATGCAGAAAACTTTTGAGGTCTGCAGTAAGGATTTTGCTTCATTAACATATTTCCTGTATTATATCAACACCATGAGTAGAATTTGTTCTCTTAATGAAAAAAAGAAAAGAAATACAGAATGAATGACAAATGCTGGACTGAATTAGTTATATGACTGTACATAGTTTGGGGGTAAAGTTTTTTACACTCCATCTCAGTCTGTACTTAATTTGTCACAAAAAATGTAGGAAAGAATTCTTCCTTTGTAGGAAAGAATCCTTCATTTGTTTACCTAGGCTTGACTTGCAAATTTGTGTAGCATTGCAGCTCTTGTTGATTCTGCCTAGGATTTTGATAGACTGTATTTTAGTAACAGCAGTAGTAATCATTTTGGAGAGATAATAATACTATGATTTATTTAACATTTTTGGGAAGACTTGATTGAAGAAAAGACACCATGAAGTTATATTTGTTCAAATGCAGTTGGAAACAAATGGTAAATAAAATAATTTTTTACAGCCTGTTCAGTTAAGCCGCCCAAATTATCATGTATTTATGAAAAGGCATCACAGTCTATACAAAGAAGAGCATAAGGTTTACATATTTGATAGTTGCACAGCTACCTTTTTCCTCCTCCCCAGAATCTAGTACCTGTCATTACAACTCTTTTCTGCTGTGAATGCACACACGCTTTCTCTGTATATCAGCCCAGTGGTTTAGTCATGTTGGACCAATGAGGGACAGTCTATGTGTAGATGCTAAATTTCAAACAAAGGATCAGTGTGTTGTTTTACAACATCATTGAACTAGCATTACTGATTGAAAGAAAGGTACAGATACCTAGACTTTAAACAAATAAAAAAATATATGTAAGTATAAACAATTTTGTCCTGTTTAGTTATGTGTTCTGAGAATGATCCTTTTAAAAATTTTGTGAAAAAGTTCAAGACCTTTTAACTCTGATATTACATTCTGTTGTAATTTTTATCCTAAAGTGCATCCTTCCTTTACCATTTTTTGCTTGCATTTCTTTTTCGTTTGGCTTCATTTCAGGTTTGCTTTAATGTGATTCCTGTGCTATTTGTTTAATTGCTACAGAGGCTGTGTGTGTGGTTATTCAATGCCCTGATCTTTTACTTTTTCCTTGATAATAAAAGGCTGTCTATTTAAGTGTCCACTGTCTATTTCAGCATCCAAATAAATGGTTCATTCCTGTATTTTCTTCTTGAATAAAACTGATAATTTCCCAAGGTGGTTGAGGTCCAATATTTGATAAGCCAACCTAAGTTGGAAGGAGAAGTAGATAGCCATCTTGTCTAGGACACAAACATTTATCCATGTATTTGAATGTCATAAATTTAGCAGTGCTGTTCATGACAATGACAGAATACACTGTTTCCTGGAAGTATATACTTAACATTGTATATTTCTGTTCTCATTCTTTATTTTCTCATTCCCTTTTCATTTAGTGTTTCAATTCAGTAACAAAAAAAGCGTCTCTACAGAATACAAAAACCAATCCATTTTTACAGTTTTAGAAAATTATCTCAGTGTAATACCTTGAATTGTATGGAGGATAGTTGTATTTGCAAGACAACTTAGGTTTTTTGCTTGTGTTTTCTCCATACCCTTCTAGGGAGAGACTGCCTACCTTTGCTGTACACACCCAGTCAAGACCTGGGGTGCAGCAGGTAATCTTCCCTAATTGCCTTTTCCCAAGGCCAGCCTCTCCTCCCTACAATTGTGTGCATAGGATAGTACTCACATTTTATAAAAGGTGTCAGTATTATATTATAAATATTTACTAATTAAAAATGTGTGCACAACAAAGTTTGAATGTTAGTTAAGTGTTGGGTTTTCCCCACCAAATCACTTTATTTCTTTACTCTATTACCAATAATTACTTGACCTGCTATCAGTCATGAGGTTTTGGTAGTCATAAAAATATCCAGATAACATCAGGTTCAGTCCACAGCATTACACACAGACATTATAGATGTTTTGCTCATGTTGCCTGAATTTACTGAGCTATTTCAGTGAAAGGACCTGATGTGAGCTTGTTGCTCAGGTATGTTTGCAGAAGTACTGAAAGATTGTTAAAAATTCAAAGCAAGGTTTTTCTCAACATGCAGTCAAAGACAGCCCTGAAAGAGTTGTTTCTGACAGCTAGAAAGCTACTGAGGTAGGGATACTTGGTATGATTTTGTGCTTTGTGTGAAACTAGTTTAGGGAACTATATGGGCAATTTCTTGCCCAGAGCCTTTCTTTACTACTTAATGGTAGTAGCTTGACAGCATGCCCTGGAGTCCTCCAAAAAAGATATATAGACTCTTTGGGGAGTCTGAGTTCCCCTCTGTGCTTTGAGAACTATAAAAAAATTGGCTGTGATGAGGTGTAAAACTGAAATGGATTGTGCATGTCACAATGGAGTGACTATCTGTTCTCTTAAGGCACTTAGAAGCAGGCCTGGCTGCCTATCATGGTGAGTTTCACTGAAATGCCAGACCCTGAACTGTCTGTATTTCATCCTCTGATAGCTATTCCTTATCTAGAAAGCAAATAGAAGGGACTTAAGTGCTAAAAGTGCATGACTTTGGCTCAATGGTCATAGCAAAAAAGTGCATGTCAGTTCAACTTTGTGATGAGCTTCTGCCTGTTGTTGCAACAAATGTTGATGCATGTTAGTATTTTTGTGCCTTTATAGGTATTTTTGTATTTTCCAGTGAAAAGACTTTCTGTTCTCTGTAGGGCACTATAGTTGTGAGTTTCCAGCTACAAAAATGTAGTTATATACCTCAGGTATTTAAGATTTTAAGAATCTTGATGAGCAATCTCAAAGGAATACTTGGAATGCACTTCTTGTAAATTGGCTCATTTTCTTGTAAGTTCTGATATGAGAGTGGTTGTAATGTGGAAAGTATATTAATCTGTGGACAAGCATTGTATATAGGAATTTATTACTCTAAAAATTTAAAATCTATGAGGTGATTTAGACTTACTCTTGTTATTTAAAATCACAGCAGAAATATATCACTATGTTTTGATACTTTTGGTTATTTCTACCAGTTTATAAAATCTGTCTAGAAATACTTTCATTTCAAATACTTTCAAATGAAAATATTTGAGTTCTTATCTGAAGAATACAGCCACTGGTCATTGACAGCAAATCCTGAAGTAAGCAGATGCCATTCTAGCCTGATGCCATTGTGTGGAGATACAATCACCCCTTAGCAGTACTACTTTAATAAAGGCAGCTGGACTTCAAGATAGATTTAGAATCAGGGTATTTCAGAAATGGTTGTGAGATTATTTTCATTCTTTTTTTTTTATTTTTTTTTTTCTTTGTAGAGTGCAAGAAGTGGATAAACTACAATTTCAATATTGTAATCTTATTAAAAATTATTTATAGCACTGGGAGACTGAGTATTCTCCTTCTGGAATCATCATATGTCAGAAGTGTCCAAGGCTTTGTAAAACCAATAGATGAACATGGAAAATGCCCAACAGATGAACACGGAAAATGCCCAACAGATGAACACGGAAACACACCTAGACCCCATGAAGGATGACTTGCCTTTAATGGCAAACACCAGCTACATGCTTGTAAAGCATTATGTGTTGGACTTGGACGTGGATTTTAAAAGTAAAGTTATTGAAGGCAGCATAGTTTTGTTCTTTGAGACTGGGAGCCAATACAGAAAAACCAGCAGTGCTGGCAAAGAATGCTGCCAGTCACAGTTTGATGAAACCTGTAAAATGAGGGCATCTGAACCCTGCCACATTCCTATGATAAATGTTAGTACCTGTTCATCTAAAACTGAATGTAATGATTTTGCTGTCAGTGGTAAAGAAGAGGAAGCTACTTCCGATGAGAACAGTAACCATAGCAACAATGAACAGGCTTCTGGGATTTCTAGTTCAAAGGACTGCTGTGACCTAGAGGATTGTGGAAACAAGGATTTTCTGCTGGTATTGGATTGCTGTGATTTGTCTGTACTAAAGGTTGAAGAGGTAGATGTTGCTGCTGTGTCTGGCATTGAAAAATTTACAAGGTCTGCCAAACTAACTGGTGTTTCAAAGGAGCTGGAAAATCTCAGGAATCGGATTGTACAGGAACTTGTGACTTTACCTGCAGATCGCTGGAAGGAACAGCTATACTATTTTACTCACTGTAGCCAGGCACCTGGCTGTGGGGAGCTTCTGTTTAGTACTGGCACCTGGAGCTTGGAGATAAGGAAATCAGGAATTCAGACTCCAGCGGATTTTCCTCATGCAATAAGAATATGGTACAAAACCAAGCCAGAGGGAAGATCTGTCACATGGACTACAGACCAGAGTGGCAGGTATGTAACTGTTTCCTGAAAGCTTTGTATGCAATAAATTTAAATAGGTGCAAGAATGGAGAATCATATAATTGCTGAGCAGCTGTGAAGACAATGAGTACACTGTTCCACAGTTTTAGTTTTATCCTTGGTTTGAATCCTTTTGCTGTCCTGTAGAAGAACACTCTCTCTGCTTGTGAAATCTTCAAGTCTATTACTTGAAGATCACAGGCCTGTCTTAGTGATTGTGTTTGCTCTTTCTGAGTGGGAGTAAATTACTTGTATGTATTTCAATAATTGTCTGCAGGAAATGGGAAATTATCATTTAGGGAAAGAAAAGGTATGAGTGACAGGTTACTTTGTGCTCTTTTTCCTTCCTGGCTTACACAGCATAAAGTTCAATATACATAACATTTAATAGAATTACTTCACAATTAGTCCTTTATCAATATTGTAATCAGCTTAGAAATACAGTAGTTTCCTGTTTGGTCTCTCATAATCAGCTTTCAAAATCTTCATCTATAATGTTAAGAACATTGATGATAGCAAACGAACTGCAAACTGAAAGAAGAATCGGGATTATATCTAGTATTAATGAAAAGAACGTGGTATTGTACCGAAAACTTCAATATAAGCCTTTTACAGAAGGGAAACTACAATCTGCTCTTGTCTTCTACAACTGTAATTGTTTTATTGGAATGTTGAAAGGTGGCTGTTTAATGACTGTTATTTCTTTCTGAAGTCTAAAAAGCCAGAACAAAGTTGGAAGATAAAGAACAAATTTGACCTAATTGAATAATTGTTTTTCTTTCCCAGCCAAGAGATAGATGGTTACCGTTTATTTTAGTTATATTCATATAAATTAAGTCTTTTCACTAGCATCTGTGTTGGTGAGGAACATGAGGCCTTTTAATTGTATTTGTGGTGGTTAGGAAATTCTGCTACTGATCTGTAAGCACCATCAAGTCCAGAAATGTCTCGTTCTTTTCTCACTCCCTGCAGAGTTTTTTTTGGTATGAGGTTAGGAAATTTAACTTGGTGTAGTACCCTTATATCTGAAAATTCTGAATTCTGACTGCATGTGAAGGTAGAGCAATTGCCCTTGATCATGTGTCTATGTCCACCTGCCCAACTATTTAATGTTAGCAACACTCAGCTGGTATAGGACTCCTCCTCTGTGTGTTTTGAGCATTTGAATGTTTCTTTTAAGTATCTATAGAATGAACAGTTTTGACTCTTTATAACCCTTTCATTGCAAAACATTGTTTTTACTTTAATGACACTTCATGGCAGTTGTACACAAATGGATGGAATTTTATGGATCAATAATGGAATAGAAAAAGCAGGCTTATCATGGATCCAGAAGTTTGATGGTATAAAATAGTACAAACTGATTTATTATCAGGCCTACACAGGGTATTCCAAAAACTAATGCCTGTCAGAAAATATGTTTTTATATCATTAGAATCTTTCTTGATATCTTTTTAAAATCAAATTCTATATGTGATGAGCCCATAAACATAGTGCTAAATCTTTTATTGCCATAGGAGGATTCTTCAGAATTTTCCAAATAATTTTACAAATTATGTATCTGGTGGGTTTTTTTTCAGATGTAAAATCCTTTGCCAAAGGAGTTTATACTATGGTTCCAACCCTGAAGAAAAGTATATAACAAAGTACACACATTGTATAACCACTTTCAATGTTTCCTGTAATTTAACACTAGTACAATGTTTTGAAATTTAGCCTATGCACAATTTTATCAAGAGTTCAATTTAATTTGTTTTAAAGAAAGATATATTATAATACACAAAAAACCCCAGCTGAAACAAAGCTTTGTGGGATGAGTTTAGGCAAGATCAGATATGTGTGTACAAACATGTTATCACAGCAGGACACACTTCTGTTTTTTAGTAGAGGAACTGAACATGTGGAATTTCAGCATTTTCCTGTCCAAGCTTTTGGGGCCAAACAAAAAAGGCAACGGCAGAGCTGACTTGTGCTAATGCAAAGAAGGAGGGAGGGAAAGTATAAAGGAATGACCAGGACGCATACTAAAATACACCTGATGAGAGGGACACTTTTGATCTCTAACTTGGGATGCTAGTTCCTTCCATCAGTGGTGTGATGACACAGTTGTGTGTACAGCTGGGTCATAAGGCATATTAGGGAGCTAATGTAATTGAAAGTAAGTAGAGGGAATAAGATGTGTTTGGAAAATACTGCTGAGGTTAATTTGGAAGGTAGAGTTATTTACTACTTTACTACAAGTCAGAAAATGTGTCATGAAAATAGATGTTTGTTTTTCAGTGGCATAAGTTAGCATTGTTCTGTGCTCTCGGAAGCTGGAAATGCAGGAAGGGAATAAAGAATATGGTTTTCTTCATAGGCAAGGTTTGGTAGAATAAACAGTCCAGATCCCTGATAGGTCTGGACTAAACCCTAAGAGGCTCTCCTCAACTCTGGGGAATCTCTACTGTTATTTTGTTTAATTTTGTTCCCAGTAATGGGAACATGGGAATATAAATATTTGAGCAATTAATGAAGTATTTTGAAGTTTATTGGATTATTCATGTGATATGCAATGACTTCTAAAGACTGACAAATGATATTAATAGAATAGAAAAGTAAAACAAACAGAGAAAAGTAAATCACAAAAAAACCCCAAACCCAAACCAACACCCAAAAAGCACAAACAAACAAAAAACAAACAAAAAACAAACAAACAAAACAAACAACAAAAACACAAACAAACAAACAGAAAAACCAAACCAAAATCAAACTAAAAATGTAGGCAAACCCTGAGTACAAAATAAATGCATTTGATATTCCTGAATATCAAATTCAGGAATTTTGTACTCAGGGTTTGTTTACTTTTTTTGCTCATTTTATTTTTTGTTTACTTGCCATAAAGCTGTCCAGATGAGTGACCAGAGATGTCACCCCTGTGTTTTGTAGATGCATTTTCTTCCAGTGTGACAAATAACTAGATAAATACTCTGAGTTCTCTGCTTATCTTTCTTTTGCTGCATGAAATTTCCTTAACCCTTGAAACCTATTGTGGCAAAGATTATTTATGTTGGCATAAATATTGCATAAGTAGATTATTTGAGTATTACAAGTTAATTGAAAGTTAAAGACTGGGGTGGAAGGGATAGGTAATAGAAAGAGGAAAAGAACTGTGAAGTTTCTTGCTAGGAGGGGTAGAGATAAATGATTAAAAAAGGTCAAATATGGGTATCAATTGACAAAAGCAGTCTAAACCTAATTATTTGTCTTTGCTATTCTGTCATGTGCTTAGATTAGCTAGTCTTTTTCTGGATCAAATGAAGAAACTGATCGACACCAGGATAAGAATTATATTTCTGATCCTCTTACGTGCTGAAATTGTGCTACCTGACTGCAGACAGACACTTGTTAGCTGCAGTGGATATCCTAAAGCAACATTGTACAATTACCAATGCACAGAAAAAAGAAATTGCACCTGTAAAAGAAGTAAAACAAATATCTAATTAAAGGCTTACATAATTGTTCTTCTGATAGTTTCCTTTAAAAATTTAGAACTTGTCTATTTCATTACTTTTTTTTAGCAGATTGACATAATTGAGTATATTTAGGAAACTAATGAGGTTAGTGAATATACCTAATGAAAAAAATGTATTAAAATGGGTGAGGAGTAGAAAGAAGTCCTACTTCTGAAGAACAGATTATGTACATGACCAGACTTTCTCCACTTATGTAACTCACTTTCTGCCTGGGCTTTTATGGTAGAGACCTGTGACCTTCCTCTGTGTGTATATTTTAGAATTAAATGTCTTAGGGAAAAAAAAAAGACTAGGAGGCTTAGATCTAAGCCTTTAGGAGCAGCTGGAGTGCTAGCACTAAGCATATCTGTTCACTGTATTTCATTTTCCCCATGTACAAAATGGTATTGACATTATCTGTAAAATACCTTATGGTCTGCAGGTAAAGATGCTCTCTCTGAGAGCAGGTGACACAATATACGTTCTTGGTAACATCTATGCTCTGTATGTTTATATTGTATTTGACACAACATTATAACATTTAGTTTAGCACTGTTCTGCCAGACTGTTTTCTCTCATTGTGGCATTTCCCTATACAGAACACAAAGATCCCCAAAACTGCTCCTAAGAGTGTATTGTACCAATAGAACCTGAAAAAACAGCCTTCACAGTGCATGGCAAATTATTGGGAAAATGTGTGTAGCAGTAGTCACTAATTCCACCTTTCCTTTTTCCTTCTCATCCTTTTCCTTCCCAGCACATATGTGTTTTAGGGTAAATAATAATCCCAGTATCTTTGACTAATGTTACTAGGAAGATGCAGGTCTTCCTGGAAGGTAAAAAACTAGGTTCCTCATTTTTCCTGTGAACTCACTGCCATGCACTCTGTTTTTATGGGAGAAAAGCCAATTATTCTATGTATATCAGATAGGTTAGAGATTAAGTTTTAGGAGTTTAATTCTAACTAAGTAAATTAAAAATCCATGCAGATTAGTGATCTATTACATTTAGCTGTACATTGTATTTTACTGTTTAAAAAATAACCACTTAGCTTTCTCTCCACTGCAGTTACCTGAACTTCACTCAATGTCTAGGTCCTCCTCTATTCACTCTGGTACATGATGGGAAAGTTAGACTATTTTCTTTTTCTGCTTATGTGCAATAGTAATAGGCCTACTTAAACTGCAGCTTTCATCTGTGTTTTGCTGGAAGACCAACTGGCCTGCATTAGTTAAGCCATAGTAATTTAAAAGTGCCAAGACAGCTCTGGATTAAATAGCACAGATAGCAATGACAAGAGGGCAAAAATATCTTCGGAATATATTTAATCTGTGACTGTCAGTGTTTCCAAATTCTTTCTCTGTGTATAGTTTGAAGTTGGCTTTAGAGAAGGAATAATTTGAAAGGAAAAGCAGTTTGGAGGGAGTAATGCTAAGATCTTAGCCATTGCTAAATCAGTTTTGCCCTAACAATTTGTCTCCTGCTTTCTGAAGTGTTTTGATAATTTTTCAAGTCAAGTGATGAAAGATACTGATTGGAATATTTTTAGCCTCAAGCGTTCACAAAATAATGTATTTTGTTCCCATAATATTTAGTTTTAAATATCCTAGGTTTTAAAAAGTTACGTGTAGTGAAGTGATGGTTTCAGGACTTTCTTTCTTTTACTGGAGAGACCTATTGACATTGGATTTTTTATATAATTTATGATTGAAACATTAGCTTTTTTTCCCCCTTAAGATAAGTGGTGTTGTTATGCACATAATAGGAATTTAGATAATACTGAAAAATGAAACAAAATAAGTAAACCAAGAATCACTAAGTCCATCCACCAGCAAGTTAGAAGGAGCTAATGAAAGGCCTTGTTACCTCCCCAGCTGTAGCTAAATGGCTAATAAGAAATTTATTGTCATGAAATATTGCAGCTGAAATTGGAAAGGGGTAGTAGACTGAGAGGTTTAGAGTAACTGCAGAAAGGGCAGTACTACAAGGAAGATTTCTATGTAAGAAGCAAGGAGGAGGCTGAAACTAACAGGATAGAAATTAATTCTTCTTATAATATGCCTTGTGGCTGAAATTCCCAGACTGGTGAGCTAGGGTGCATTACCTCTGAAATTAAAAGTAAAAATGTCAGAATTTATTGACACTTGGACTAAGGAAGACTCAAAACTAGATCTACTGCTGATTTTGCATGAGCCTCCAGGTTGCTAATCCAGAAGACTGGATTCATGATAGTGAAGCACTACTAGGATGATAGCAGGGAGGTATTACAGGTGTTGGTGAAGCCCTGCAATGGCATCATCAGAAGATACTCAGAAGCTTTCTTTGATCTTATGGGTTCATCTGGAAGCTATTGTATGAGGCTGAGAACTCATGCAAAAACTGGAGTTAGTCTTTTCTAGTTTGAAGGTATTGTAGTTATCTTGCTTTTCTCGTCTTAAATGACTTAGGTTGTACTTTGATTGGTTCATTTCATACAGGTTTGGAACCTGCAGAGCTGAAGGTAAAGAAAGAAACCACCTCAGTTTGACAACATCTTTGATTTTTTATATAGAACTTAATTCAGTCTTCCCTATTGTAATTCCAATTTCAATCTCTTTTTCTTCCATCTAGGCCATGTGTTTACACAATGGGATCACCAATAAACAACAGAGCCCTCTTCCCATGCCAAGAACCACCCATTGCCTTGTCAACGTGGCAAGCCTCAGTCCGAACAGCTGCAGACTTTGTTGTGTTAATGAGTGGTGAAAACTCAGCAGAACCAGTCCAGCTTCAAGAAGGTGAATTACATTTTTCAAGGCAAATTATTTTCCATACTTTTGTAATTAGAATTCAACCTTGGTAAATACATGATTTGTGAAAGAACGAAGTTCCTAACTTTAAAAATACTTCCATGTCTCTCTGTAATCTCCATGTCATTTTGTGGAAAAGTTACCTGCTCAAGGCCTCAGGATAACTTCATAAGTATTTGAAGTGTCTACATTTCTACATCTCATTGTGTTGCTTACTTTTTTTTCCCTCTGTGTTTCCAAACCTAGGTTTCACTTTTCATAAATTTGCTTTATTTTAATCACAGTGTACTCAAGTTTTGTAGATGAAGTACCTTATCAGGCTCTCAACAGCTTCAGGCCTTAGTAGATAACTGTCCTTCACTTTTAGTTCAGCATGTGATTAGAAGCAGCCATTGTGCCAAATGTATATGTTGCCTGGAATACATGTAATATCTGAAGAATATCAGGTCAGTGCCCTGAAAATCTGATCTCTGGGGGGAGGTTGTTTGCATTGATAAAACATATATTTTTCAACTGTAAGTAAACAAGGATTTCTTCTGTGTTGGTTATACTTTGTTATCTAAACTTTCTTCACAGAGAAGGAAGTTGTTAAGGCTTGTATAAATTCTACATGTAATGAAGTGAGTCTTGTTCTTGTGAGTTTTTATATAATCTGTCAAACTAGGTCAGTACCTTCTAGTGTGAGTAGTTCTGATGAGGCATAGCTGAAGGAAAAGGTTAGAATTAAGCTTTTCTGGGGAAAAGTGTCTTCTGCTCCCCTTTAAATGGGCAGGCTTATTATTGAGTGGGAAAAAAAGTGAAAGTCTCTTGATTCAAGAATCAAGTTAATCCATTTTCATGGAATTGTCTTGTTATATTTGGCCATATATGGGGCCTCTTTCAAGGCTTGTCTCTGCTGTTGAAATATGGAAAACTGCCACGATGAGCTGCTCAGTTTCCTTGGAGAATAGCACTTTCCTGTCTCAGCATCAAGAAAGAAAGGACACTTTTGACTTCAGACTAGGATAACAGCTTTTCCATCAATGTTTAACTAGTTTAATGAGAGACACTAATTTTTCTTGTTTACATACAGCTGGACATGAAAAATCAGCAAGCTGTTTGGAATTGTAAAAATTTACAAAACTAATACAGAGGCAAGAAGGAAAAGGAGTAATACTCTGAGGAATGTTTTAAAATCCAAGTAAACCCAAGATGTAAGTGCTAATCTAAAGCCTTGGATAAATTTTTAATGAATTTAGGAATACAAATTGATGAGTTTAATTAATACAATTTCTAAGAGTTAAAAAGTTTAAAATGTTCTGTTATTTTAAATAACCTGTCCACATATATCTTGTTGTTTGGCAATTCTGGAAGGTACATGAAATGTATCCAACTTAAAATTTTGTCTCTACACACCAGAAAGCCTTCCAGGATAGCTTCAATTTAAGTAAGTTTGCAAAGTTGTTTACATACAGTATGCTATTGCTGTGCCGCATATTTATAAAATCATACATAACTGGCAGAATAATAAAATATATTTTGTAAAAATGCAATTTATTGGGAAGAATTAGCAATCTGGTAAGCAGTTATGAATAAATTTATTTTGAATAGAATTACAAGTTAGCTGATTTTTTTTTTCCTTTAAAAGTCATATTTAAAACTAGTGTGGAGGCAGACAGTAAGAAAGCAACACGCAAAGTTGATTCCTTCAAGCTGTTAGACATGTGCATTCTGCTTCACAGACACACATTTCTACATGTGCAGATGCAGTAATCCAGTGCATAGTTGGGCTAGATGTACTCTTATATGGAGATTCCTCATTTACCACTTGTATTTGCAGGTTTTGGCAATAGTCTGTTACCTACCATATGTGCCATTTTTGCATTCTGCCTCCTATAAAACTGTGGTTGATCCTGACATTTGAAATAGAGGGTGCCCACGTTTGTTTGAAAATAGTGCTAGAATAATTACACAAATAGAAATGGTAACTCTTTGAGTATGACCAAAAGTGCTTAAATACCTTGCATTTTTTATGGAGTACTTAGAGAAGTTGATCAGAAAAATGCAATTAATAATGCTCTTTGAGGGAAAGCTTGACAGGGAGCACTACACATGTGTGTAATGTGAGCCATTTAAGCATTAAATTTATTTTTATACACTTGTCAGTTTTACTTTCCTTCAGCACATAGAATCTGCAAATACATTTAGTCACAAACACCTATCAGTTCAATTCATATTCAAGAAGAGGATAATCAGCCATTAAATGTGAAACAGACTGGCATGCTTTTTGTGTGGTTACTCTTCTACTATGTAATCCTTCATCTTGTTTTGACATCTGCATGGTAAGTGAGGAGTATACTGGTACTGAGAAAAAATAGAGTGCTAGAAGAGCCACTGCTCCTGCGATGTAGTTAGCAGCAAGAATACTTTCTTAAGAGTGCAGTACTTGTGTTGGTTATCTCCAGGATGTATCAGAGTCCACAGCACAGTAGTTGAGAGCTTGTCATGCACTACTCATCCCTCTGACCCAGTGCTGAGCTAATGCTGTGGAGTGAATGTGAGGGAGCTCTGTGGGGAGTTCTGGATTTCAGATGAGATCAGAAAATCCCTACAAGTCACAAAGAGTTTCTGAAAGCTGGGGGGTTCTTAATCCTGGTGCTCCAGCCAGTGAGTAGTTTTTACATAACTACTTACTTCACTGCACATTTATATATTAGCACTAGCTCTTACCTTGTGCATCTGTTGTTGTGTGGGGCTATTTCTCCTTTTCTATAGAGGTAGTTGAACTTTGTGGGTTTTAGTAAATAGTAAACATCAGCTCTATTTTGTGGTGTTTGTGTTAGTGCAGACTATTTGACAAAAAATATACTGGTAAGTAAAAATGTTCATAATGTACATTAACAGATATAGCTTTGGCCTTTTTTTCAGTTATAATGAACTCTACAAGACTCAAACAATTGTAATTATGTCAAATATTGCTGAATGCATTAAAAATTCTAGGAAGTAATTACATCATTCATCATTGTTATTTCAAGTAGGAGAAATAAATAATTTTTAAATTGTTCTTTTACAAAATTATGAATAGATTAAAATTTCCTACTCTTGTTAAACATTGGAAACATGCAAAGTTTTTCATTTTTAACTTCTAGAATAGGTGGTTGTTGATGCATGATTAGTGCAGTTATGACACAATATATTTGCATTGCAGACCTGAAAAAAAATCAGAATTACAGGTAGGGAAAATAGCAAAATGTTTTGAATATATTGTAATTGCCTAAAAGAATTATGTGTAAGAATCAAGTTATTTTAAAATTACATTACAAGTACAAGGACTGGGGTGATCTATTTTGCCCATGGACTAATCCCAGCCTAACCTGTTGTTTTTCCCAGTGTGTTCTCACTTAGTCTGAAGATGTTTTTATGGTACAAAATCCTGTGTTTGGTAAAGAAAGACACATTTCAGCTGCACTGTTTTCTGCTATCCTAGAGATGGAGCTGTCTCCAAGACTGACACTGAAAAGTACAATGCAGCCAGAGGATGGGGAGACCAGCAAAAATTAGTTGAGTGAAGCTTGTGATCCCAATATATTTGCTGGGATAGATCATAGCATACAGATGAAGGAAAACAAAACAAAGCTCACTGGCGTGAAGACAGTGTAAGGAAGGAAGTGAGGTAATGGGAGAGGTCAGGCTGGGAGACAATCTTACCAGTAATGAGAGAAGACACAAGGTCAGTGAGTTAGTTAAGCTGTCTTTAAGACAGTGCTTCATGGTTTTCTCCAGATAGAACTTCTGCCAGCAAAAATACCTTTTCAGTCACTGATCAGCACTGTTTTCCAGCCTGTTTTCCTATGGTTCTATAGGGAGAACTCACTTGTCATGCTTGCGTATGTGATTTCAGCCAACAACTGTAAGATAAATATATAGGTATTCTTGATTATGAATGCAGAAGATATCAAAAAGTGCTGCAGGGAATGGACTGAGCCCCTGGGTAGATATGCAGAGATGTTATAAAACGTGGATCTTGTTCTGGGAGGATCCACAGTTCACATGATTTCTAAAATCCTTGCAAAGTAAAAGGGCCTTTGGTACCGTTAGTCTTTTTGCATCAAGTCAGCTCTGAATACTGTGTTCATTGCTAATTTGTATAGATTTCTGAATGCAGTACATGCTGTTCTTCTCTCTGAACTGCTAATCAGATTGCCATGCCCTTTATATATACTATTCAAGCTGTTTGTGCATTGTTTTTTAGGAGAAAAAACCCTCTTGCTTGCTCTAGCCTGTCTTACTAAACTTGTTTCTCATGTAGCCCTCTCTGATCTCTACCTACCACAGGACAACACCCTTTCCTTTTAGACAATCTCACAGTTGTGAGAGACTTTTCCTTTATACCTTGTGCCATTTGGAAAAGTTTTCTGTAATTGCTTTTTGACTTCCATGCTTTTTTCCAACCATAGTTGAAAACACATGACAGTTTTTCGATTACAATTTTCTCTGATGTTATTTAATTCTTAAGTTTTTACAACGAATGTAACTACATGGAGAGTTTAGTAATGCTTTGTAGCATTTAGATGCAGCACTGAGTGCAGAACCTCTGAACCTTGTCCTGTGTGTATGTAAGTTAATGGCAAAGTTGTTACTAACTACAATCTGTGTGGGCTTGGGCCTTTAGCACAGTGTCTATCAATGAAACTCTGTACATCAGGAATTTGGTATTCTGAAATAATATATTGTTGCTACCATGGACGACCTCTTCTCACAAGGTGACATTTGCTTGTCTTGGCTTATTTGTAACTTTGTTAAGGTAATAAGAATAAAAAAACAAAAGGCAGAGTAAAATTTTGCAAAGTTATCCTCCTCATTCTTAATGTGTTTGGAACAAATACGTCCATTCTTCTTATGTACTGACAAGAGCGTAGGAAAATTACAGGAGTAATAGATGTTCACCTGACAATACTGACAACATTTTTTTCATGGATGTTACCTAAAATGGGATGGGATGGAGGAGTATAAGTAGTTTCTAGTGCATATAAGAGGCAAAGACTTTATCTGCCTCCCAGAAGACTTCACAAATGGCATTGTTTTGTCATGCTAAATAGAAGGTGGAAAACCTGTTGAGGCTAAACTAAAGATTTTTTTCTTTGTCCTTCCTTTGGACAGCCTGACCTTCTTAGGTCATTAAGGTAGGAAATCAAGTGATGCTTTGCAGCAGTTGTCTGTTTCCTTTCCTCTGTGCCTTGTGGTCTCCACTTAGTTGTATTTTAAAAATTTTTTTCCCTTTTGGTAGTGTTCCATAGTCCTAGTCAGAAGACTTGAAAAAGAACAAGTACTAAGGTTCTCTCAAAATAACTGAAGTTTGTTTGTTTCCATGTTGCCCTAGCTACAGTCATTTGCACATGATTCATCAGAGTTTAACTCATGCTAGGCTATTTTCAAGATAATTAATCTGTTAGTGTGGTGTAGTAACTGTATTATGACAATAAACTAATACATGGATGTGATTCTTAAACTATATCCTTTTTAACGGGACAAACAGAAAATCTAAGCAACTTTTGTATTAATGGAAAATGTGCTGTTATAGAACATCCACATTATAAAAATGTGTTTGTACATACAGTAATCCTATACCATACTCTGTCTCCCCACATTGTGTTCCCACAATGATAAAACTTAGCATATTTTTACCTTCTAATAGATTCTTGTTTTGTTTTAGCACCTTCATGGGGTGCTAAACATGACCAAATTTACTTATGTAATATCTCATCTGAATCTAAGTTTTGATTTCTTACTGCCTGGTTGACATATTATGTACCTCAAATAGCTGGGTCCAATTCACAGATAATAGTGGTGTTTGTTACAAATTATCTATCAATTTGGTGCTGCCCAGAACACAAAGGAAAGGTTTTGGGTTGTATTAGATAATAATACAAGCAAGCCAAAATCATAGCAGAGTAGATACAAGGTTGAAAGATTTTAATTTTTATATTGTGTGTGTGTATGTATTTAAGGGTCCTACTTGGGTAGTAACAGTACAATCATGCTAAGCTGCATTAATAAAATCCCACTTATGGATGATTTATTTACAGGTAAAGACATCAGCAGTTAGAGCAAAGTTGCAAGTGTAAGTAAACAGAACACAAAATCCATGGTGGTTGCATACAACTGTTCTTATATGTCTTCATGTGATTGATTTTACTTCCTCCACAAAAATACCAGGTTGTAAGGTGGGAGATGGGACCCAAAATCTCATGTACATGCAGATGTCAAGTACCTAACATGTGCTGTAACACTGATGAGTCTGTACAAATGTTCTTTTGTTTACAGGTATCTTGAGCTGGTACTACTATGTGTCCATGCCAATGCCAGCATCCACTTTCACTATTGCTGTGGGGTGCTGGCAGGAAGTTAAACAGCAGTCCTTCAAACAAAAAGCTGCTATTGGAACAAACACTGAGTTTTCCTTGCCATCATCACAAACTGATTTAAGGTTGGTGTTTATAATATTATTGAAAAATTAGGTATATGGGTAGCATTTCCATTTACTCAGTGGAATGTGAAAATGAGTCATATTAGTGCAGGAATCAAAATAGAACTTGTTTAATCTGAACAGAAACATCTTGACAGGAAAATAATTCCAAAGGCATTATTTCATGGGAGTGGTTCTTTTTATGTGAATGCAAGCTGTTTAGTGAGCAATAGGGTTTATAAATTCCACTCTCCACTAGATTTGTATCCTGTATCCTTAACACTCTGCTGCAGCAATGCCAGGTGCTATCTTGTTTCTTAGAATACTTGACTCAGTCCATTCTGGATACTAATGACTCCTACTACAATATTGCCTACTTACTTTTTTGTTCTCCTCCAGTCTCATTGCCCAGTTAGAGCTGGCCTGTGCAATGGTTTGCCTGGGGTGATGTGTAGTGACCAGGTACCTGAAAGATGTAGTACAGTGATCCCATAAAATAGAGTTGGACCAATCTATTCCTCCTCCCAGTCTAGTTAAAATTCATTAAGTTTGAATTATTACAGGGTGGTAGATGAGCAGAACAATATATACCTGAAAATAAAATTTGAAGATAGAAAACAAATTTCTGGAAAAATACTGTTTGCTTTCACATGTGTTCACCTTAGTTAGAAGAAATCTTGGGACTCGATTTCCTCATATATAACTCTCAGCTTTTCAAATTCATCTCATAGCATCCCAGAACAGCCCAGACTGTAGTGGACCCTGAAAATTCATCTGCTTCATTCTTTCCTGGGAAGGAGCTTAGATAGAGATATCTAACACCCATTGGCCCTTGTCTTGGCCATGTGGCTCCTTGAGAAGAGAGTGACTCTGTGCCCTTTGTAGATGCCCTTCAAGTACTGAAACACTGTGATGAGGTTCTCTTTCCTCTTCCCTGAAAAGGCCTAGCTCCTTCTGTCTTTCCCCACAGGGCAGGTTCTGCAGCCCTTGTTCATTTTTTTGTGTTCCTTGAACTGTGAGGAGCAGAAGGAGACATGATGCTTCCCACAGGTGCTGCCCAACAAGCTGTGCTCAGAGCTGCTGATCCGCTCTGTCCCTCTCTGCCAGCAGTGCCCCAGCAGCTGCAGCCCAGGGTCTGATTGCCTTCATAGCTGCAGTGCCATGCCAGTGACACATGGTCAAGAGATTGTCCCCTGCACTTCCGTGTCCCTGTCAGCAAGGCTGCTCCCCAGGCGCGCAGATCACAGCCTGTGCTGGGGTGGTGTCACCCCAGGCACAGGACTGTGCCCTTGTCTCTTCTGCAACCCGTGCTGTTCTTGCCAGCCTCACTCTTTCATCCTGTCCAGGTCTCTGAGATGCCTCTCCCTTCTGATGTGTCCACCTCAACAGCTAACCTGGTGAGGATGCTTTCAAATCCATCATCCAGGATGTTTGTGAAGATGTTGAACAGTGTGGGGCCCAGCACAATTTCTTGGGGAACTTTGCTTGTGACAGTCTGTCAGCATTAGTGAAAATCAGTGATCACTATTCTCTGAGTGTGGCCTGTGCATCAGTTTTGTACCCATCTCACAGACCACCTATCCAGTTTATCCAGGAGAAGGCTGTGGGAAACTGTGGCCAATGGTTTGCAAAAGTCTGGGCAAACAAGGTCCACTACTCTTCCCACATAAACAGAAATTGTTTGATTGTAGAAGATTATTTGGGTTACAAGTTTTTATGTATTTAACTTTATTTATTTACTTATTTAACTTTATTATTTAACCATTTAACATTTTTCTGTTGCTCAGTTCAAAACTTCACTTAAAGAATACTTGTCTTTTAGACAGCTGTTTTGAATTATAATTTTTTGGCATTAAGACAGTGGAACTACTGGGACTTTGGAACTTGAGAACTTAATATGGATGTTTTTGTTGAAATTTAAAATTAAATTATTCTAATGTCTTGCAACTTGTCTGACTTTGGTTAAAAATGCTAATTAATCTTGACAATAGAAATTGTCATACTTTACATACGATCAGTAAGAAATATCTGTTCTAATTTTAAAATAATTTATAGGTTTGATGAGCTTCTAGAAATTTGTTTGTGTTTATTTATTTGCTACTTATATGTTTACAATAGGACTGACTCCACAAAAATAAGCTGTAGATGTGTTCCTCTCAAACATACACCACATTTGGATATCTGGGTTGGTTTTGTTTGTTTTGGGTTTTTTGGTTTTTTGTGGGTTTTTTTTTTGTTGTTGTTGTTTTTTGTGGTTTTTTTTGTAAAATTTCTGAAAAGAGGGAAATATTTTTGTAATTTTTTGTAGCAAAAATAAAAATTAGTGGAAGTTTTATCAGTGTGATGGTCATAGTTTTAAGTTTATCTGCATAATGGTTATTGGAAGAGCTAATTGGCATAGATTGTGTGATGTATCTGCAGCAGTTAACGTCAGTGGAAGATACAGAACTAACAGAGTCTTGGGAAAAAAAATGACAAAAAAATTCCAAAAATCCTCTGCAAATGTGATGCATGTTGTAGATAGACAATAAAGGTTGCCCTAAATGTATAAGGTTGTTTTGCAGCAATCAGGACATAAAAATCTGTGTTTTACAGTTATATCCAGTTAATCTTTAGCTGGGAGTTAGCACAGCAGAGGTCATTGCTTATTTTAGTCAGTGAGACCAGGTCACCAAACCAATAATACTCACAGTAGCAGACATTTCTAGAAAGGGTGTGAAATGGATAGACAAGCAAATGTTAAGCATATGTCTCAGATAAGATAATGGAGATTAACTCTAGAACAGCAGGAAAAGAAAGGAATTCTGAAAGAAGTTGTTGAAATGTGTAATGTAATTTGTGTCCAGGTGCCAATGAGTTTTACCTGTAATGTAATTTGTATCCAGGTGCCAGTGAGCTTGACCTAAGGAGGCTGTATCAAAGTAAATGTTATATGGATCTATGATATTTATAACTTTTCATTTCCTTGTGGTCATTAAGGAATTGGCAATCTATAAGAGATATGGTACTAGCTTTCATGTTCCTGCCTAATCTCAATTCTGATAATAAAATGCAAAGTTAGATTGTTTTAGAGTAGAAATAGATAATAATAATAGATTAAACCACCATTAGAAAAAAAATTGTGTAGCAATGGATGTGGTTTCTTTACATATGTAGTCAATGAAAGGACACAGAGTCCACTTCTTTGACAGAAAGACTTATGTAAGATGCTAAAGTGTTAATACTTCAGCAAAATCTCATCCTTTTCTACACGTCATCCTTTTGTTTTCTGTATCAACATGATCTTCCAAGCATTATTGCTTAGGGCAATGCTATGTGCTTTGCCTGTTGAGGCAGAGTAGAACTGGATTACTTAAACTGAAGTTTCAAACTAAGGAGAGGCTGTGTACTGTAGAGAATATGGACTAACAGGTGAAAACATGAAGCTGATTTCTGTTTAGATAAGAATCTATTTGGGCAGATAATTTATTGTGAAGGTATATGACAGTGTTTAGGAAGAATTTAATTTACCCCTCCTATCTTCCAGCTAGAGCTCTAAATATCCTATAAAGTACTATAAAGTCCTATAAAAGTACTATAAAGTAAGGTTAGCCTTATGTGGTATTGTTGTATGTCTAGCATAATAAGTCTAAATTGACATCTACTGGGTTTTTAAACTTAATAATAATAATAATAATAATAATAATAATAATAATAATAATAATAGTAAAAATGTACTTGAAGATTCTGGAGAATTCTAATAACAACAACAGAAAAAATCCCTCCTGGAATTACATTGCAATTGAACCTAAAATACTTGTATTAATGTTATGTTAATATGCATAGAATTTTATTTTCATAGCCAAGTTTGAATAGGAATTTTCTGAGTAAATATTTTTGTATTCTTATTAGTTCTCTTTACATATATTTTGAGCACTTATTCTTTTTATGCCTATCTGTTATAAAAACAAGGTGTGACTAGTCTCTCTCTTTAGTTATGAGTTCTACCCAGATATAGTAGTGAGTGTTTCAAAGCACTGCACATATGTGAACAGGGAGAGAATGCAAATGAACTGGTTCTATGGAAATTAATTCTATCATTCTGACAGCTGGAGAATATCCTTGTCTTAGCATAGTCAGTTGTGCACATTTCTGATATCACAATTAAGTACTGTTCTGTTTTGTTTTCTATTGTCAGGTGGCATGAAGAAGTATGTGGTCATGTGGAATATCCCTGCCGTTTCCAAAATCCTGCTGCCAGGTTGCAAGCAGTTATTCCTTATAGAGTCTTTGCTCCCTGGTGCCTTATGGAAAGCTGTGAAGAATATCTGCTTCAGCTAATTCCTCAATGCCTCTCAGCTGCCTATGCCACACTGGGTACCCACCCCTTTTCCAGGCTTGATGTTCTGATAGTTCCTTCCAACTTTTCCAGCCTGGGAATGGCTAGGTAAAGAAGCTTACTAGTATCCAATCTGCTGTATTTTGTTAGACTCCTTCTTTCCAGCTAGTTAACAGTGTCAAGTTTCTGTCAATATAAAGTTGCTGTGCTATTTTTCTTAAACCAAACTTAAAAGTTTCATTCTGACTTCATATGAGTAGGTTTGTTTGCCTCCTTTTTTTTTTAATTTAGTTTTAACAGGGTGCAGGGAAGGGAAATATAAGCTTATTAGAATATAAGCTTATTAGATGTGAATTTTTGTGAAGCTGAAGTTCTTTAGTTGGTTCTATTGACCTAAACACTTGATATCATTGTCTTGTTTTCTTCTGACATTGATTTTAGCCTTATATTTTGACAGAACAGGAGTATGTTAAAATCCAAATCTAGAGTTTCTTCATAAGCATTTCCAATGTATGGGTTTCTAGTCAAACACTTATCTTCAGAAGCTGAAGGCAAATAGCAAGGATTATATTATATATTTTCATGGAATTCTGAAGGCTCTCAAGCCTGTCCAGGTACCTCTGAATGGCATCTGTTCCCTCCAGCAATTTGACTGTACTGCTCAGATTGGTGTAATCAGCAAACTGGCTGTGTGCATTTGATCCCACTGTCTGTGTCTGTGTCAGTCCCATTACTGACCCCTGAGGATACCACTTGTCACTGTTCTCTACTTGGACAATGAGCCATTCACTGTAACCCTTTTGAGTGTGACCATCCAATTCCTTATCCACTGAGTTGTCCTTCCATAAAATCCATGTCTCTCCGTTTTAGAGACAAAGGTGTTGTGCAAGACAATGTCCAATGATTTTCATTCAAGTAGATGACATCAGTTTCTTTTCCCTTGTCCACCACTGTTGTAACCTCGTCTTTAGAAGGCCACCAGAGTTCCTAGGCATGATTTGTCAATAGTGCAGCCATGTTGGCTGTCACCAATCACCTCATTATCTTTGATGTGCCTTGGCATAGTTTCCAGAAGGATCTGCTCTGTGCTTTTGCTTGACCTTGAGTAGAGACTGACGGGCCTGTCTGTAGTTCCCCAGGTCATCCTTCTGTCCATCCTTCTGGTCATCCCCAAGCCAACCTTTCTAAAAATGGGGGTTGTGTTTCCTTTTTTCCAGTCAGTAGAAACTTCACTGATGCCAGTAAGATCATGGGCCTGCAGGCCATGCTTATTCCCTGTGCTGCATGCATTAGCATGAAGGATTTTAAATTGGGCCCTTGAGGAAACTAAATTACTAGCTGGAATTCCTTTGTGCTGTTCTTCAGGTGCCCTTGTGACCTCTCTCCAGGCTCTGGGCATTATAGGAGTGGGGTGAGTTGAGGTTCCTCTTCCCCAGCAAGTACAGTTTAAAGTTATCTTCACCGATCTGGCAAGCCTAGGACTGAAGCTGCTCTTACCCTTCTCTGACCAAAGGACCCTGTCAGGCCAGGTTTTACAAAGCAGGTCCCATGTTCCAAGTCACCAAACTCCTGGTTTGGCACCAGTCTTATAACCTTTAGCTGATTTGACTGGCCCTTTCAAGCTGTAGATTTTTTTTTCCTATAGCTTTCCTCTTGCAATACTCTTTTGGGTTAAAAGTAGAAAATTATGGTGGCACAGTAACAATATTGTATAGTTTTTAGTAGAAGTTTATTGGCTTTTTAAATTTCATTTGCATCTAGAAAACATAAAACTTTAGCATTCAGTCACCCTCCTCTGTCATATAAGGCTTCTTGCTTTCTAGATACCTTTTACTGGGGGTTGCTGAATTTTCAACTATATTCTTCACTCAGTGAAGGCATCAAGCTGGTTTGTGCACCTGCCACAGATTCTCCAGTTCTTTGCCTGGTGGTTTGGTTTGAGTGAGGTGTGGTACTGTGTGCCATATGAAATTCGCTGCTGCTCAGCAGTCTTCTGTGACTTCAAAGGCATAGTACTAAAGGGTTGTCACAGGGCCTTGCTATAACTGGGAAAGAATCCAGTCATTTCACTTATCTGTGAGATAAGAGCTGGGAATCGTGAAAGGCAAGACACACAAGTAGTTCAAAATTAAAGAGAAAACAGATAGTGATGTCTGGGCCAAAATTACAGCACACAGTAGGAGAAATCTTCACTATTTAGCTGTTGATACGCTGTTTCTCTATGGGAAATTTTCAGTGCCTTCCCTGCATGTACCTTTCCCAGAATTTATAGAAAAAGGTACCTGCAAGGAGTTCTGTTGCAAAACCATCTGTCATTATCTGAGTCCAGATTGTGTGTTCAGAATACTATAATTGTGGGGTTTTTTTTTGAAGGAGATTATAAAATCCTGTGCTTTTATTCCCCTATGCTTCATCTAACCACTGTCAGTTCCAAGCAATCAATATAGTTGAAAATAAGGATGAAAGAAGGTGTGTGCATATTTCTTGATGCCTGTCATTTAACAGTGCATCAAGCCAAACACATTCCAATTTTTCAAAATTTAACTAATTTAAGAACTAATTTAAGGTGTTTAAATATCAAGTTGTATTTGGGCAGGAGATTATTAAGTGACATGATAGCTAATTTGTTCTTCTTAGATGTGATTTTTCCAATAGAAACCTCTGTACATAGCAAGCTTCTTAAATGGTTAATTCCTATGTGTGCAATGATAATTGCCTAAATTGCTTAAGCTAACAATAAGCTTTGTGCAAATCCATGTCAAAACCCACACAAAGAAAAAAAAGTTAGCAATTACCTTGGGTTAAAAAGGTTACTGTAGCATTTATTTTTTTATCTTCTAGTCTATCTGTAACAGTACAAACATAATACAGCATGCCAGCATGTAGAAGCTGTTGTTATCAGCACTCTAATTGGACTCCTGTCTACCAGAGAAGGAAACAGATATGAATTTTAGTCATTATCTGAAATATTAGGGCTCTACAGCATTTGGTGCTTTTCTTTGTTCCTCCATTAATTGTACTTACTGTGCTTTTCACATCTCAAAATGCTGCTTATTTAGGAGAGGTATTTCCCCAACACATTAGATTGGTATGAAATTATGATAGTTCTTGCACAGAATTATCTAATTAGGTGTTTTGAACTGTCTATTTCAGTGGCAGCTATTGTGGGTCAGCTACATTTCTCTTGAAGTCTGACAGAGGAATTATAAGCAAAACCGTAGTTGAAAGCATATTCATTGTGCTTGTGTTTTCTGTTCATATTTTCATGTGTTTTTTAATTTGCTATGGACTTTTGTATGAAAATATATATTAATTGCAATCATTTCCTCTTACTTCTACAGATCTTTGAAGATGGAGGGTTTAGTTTTCCACACTTTAGTTTTACTCTGTTTTAATTTAAGTGACTGTATAGCTTCTCCTAAATTCATGCTAGTAAAAGAACGATGTGGCCTACGCCTGTTGGTGACATTATGTTGAACTGTACAGAATTTAAATTCATAAAACATTATGGGCCAAATTTAAGTAGCTTAAAAGCCTGAGATTCAGTGCTTTTTCTAGAATGTTGAGAATCTCATGAACATGTAACAGCAGTTAGATATTTAATTTTAAGTTCTTTCACTAGAAGAAGAGAGTAAGTTGGAGTAAAAGGATTTGGGAAGTATGTTAGACTATAAGGCTCTAGAGATTCTAATTAGGTTGTTCATGGAAGAGATCCCTGACTTCACACTACATTGAAAGGTGCATTTCATGCACTCAGAGAACTAAGAGGTTAAAATCAGAAAATTAAAAGTAGCACTATGTTTTGATGCTGTTGATTATATGGTACTTCCTGAGGAGTTATCAAACCCCATTGGCATTTAAGTGTCAGAGGTATTTCACAGTCGCAGATGTTCTCATATGAGCCAGCAGTTATTCACATGAACAGAGCTGAATGAAAGATTTCAGATGAAAAGTAGGGTCTGTGTATTCACTAGTTGTCTGGGCTCTTCAAATCAGTTCACTCCCAATCCAGTTTTTTTGATCCCATTTGAAATCCTAGTGTTTTGATGTCTCTTCTCACAACTCAGTTTTCTTTATTTTTTATTCAGAACCTGAAGAGACTCTGAATTCCTTGTTCTTTTTCATTCCCTGAGGAAAAACTTTCTTTCAAATACAGAAACTCTAACTTTTGGTGCCACCTGAGCTTGCACCTGAGGCTATGACTTTTCTTGCAGTGTTTAACTACTTTAGCTTTTTCACAGTCACACCAATCCCTTGTATTTCTGTGATGTTAGAAACTGCGTAGCAGCTTTCTACTTCTTCAGAGCAAATGTGCTGATGTTTATTTTACCCTCCTGAGAACTGTAAGCCTTTGCATTCAGTTGAAATTCTCTCTTTGAAACAATGGTTTTAAAAGTTTTTTCCTGGCATACATTGTTTGAATAATGTAAGATTACTGCTTTTTCTGTTTGAATTAATGTATTAATGTACTAGTTTTGTACTAAGTGCTAGCACAAGGAAATGTTCTTATCCAAGTGCTATGTATAAGTAATCTTTCTAGGTGCATCATATATTGCTGGGATCTAGAAGAGTATGATGAGGAAAGTGTTCTTTGCTATATAGCACACTCCTAGTTTTTCCTTAAACTCTTAGTGTACTAATAGTGACCGTGGGATAGATGGACATCTGGTCTAACCTGTTCATCTGTACTTAAAGATGATTTTACCCATCAAAGCTAGTGAAACCAAAGAACTTCAGAGCAAGATTCTGACATTTTCAAAACAGGATCCTAATGTTAAGTTATTTGAATTTTATTTAGGCTCTAAAATTAGTGGCCTTATTTTAAACTATGCTGAACACCCTTGAAACCCAAATAGTGTTTTGTTGGAACTCAAAATGTCTCTCAGACATTTTTAGAGGTTCTAGGCCTTGGTTAGAAGCATTTTAGACCCTGGCAGGCAGCTGGAAACAGCTGTGATTTTGAGTTTGAGTAATGGAATAAGGTACTAACTTTAAAGGTAGAAAGGATTAGATAGTATAGTAAAAGTAGTTACAAAGTAGAGGGGAAAAATTTTAGTATTGTACAGGGGGGTTTTTACTTTGTACAGAGGGGTTAGAAGTTCTAAGAT